CACACACACACACACACACACACACACACACACACACACTGAATTAGTGGTTTTTTTTCTGACTCTTTGTTTTAAGCATGAAATCACTTAAATTTGACATATTTTTAGTTAACAAGACTTTATATTTTAAGACATTGTCAATTTATCTCAAGTAAATGTATCTTGATTTAGATATTTGTACTGGAAAACAAGACAAAAATACTAAGACTAGAGGTCAACCGATTGATCTGCATTATTTCATTAATGGGCATCGGCCGATTGTGCTGCAAATTAGGCCGATTTATAGGCAGGCGCATCTGCGGGCAGCTAAGCGTTGTTGCAGAGCTCCGGAGAATCTCTCTCTGGCTGCGTGAGAGACGGAGCAGCTCACACTCTGCAGCCGCTTCTTGATCACACACCGCTTCAGCTAATGATGGCAGGGCAAAACAGACCGTTTCGAAAGCATAATTACGTTTTACCCTACTAGAATTGATGCCGGAAAGTTATCATATTCATAAGTGCAACAAGTCATTTGCATGTGAAAGTAGAAACAGGTGCAATTCAGACGAAACTTCTGGGCTGATTATAATGTGCACGTTAGCTTTCCACATGAAATGTGTGTGTAGGTCCGACAATGGCATCCACGATGTCATCGCTCATGGCCATCGCTCGTGGTCAGCACACTCTTAAGCAGTTATGAGCAGCAGGCTGTGTAATATGTGTGAACTCTTTTATTTTTGTTATCACTTGGCCATTTGACTTACAGCAGTGTCCATTGTTTCTCGTACATTGAGTTATTACTTCGTTGAATAAACTGATCACTGCACGTTTCAAAATTAAAATGCAGCGCAGGTGTTTTTATATGAATGTATCTTTGAAAAAAACGACGGTCTTCAGAAAAGCTTAGGTGTCATTTTAATTTCGTCTTTCCTGTAATGCCTGATAAAGTAGCGTTTGTGAGCGCAGTGCTTATTAGATTACAGCCGTTACCGAGGAAACCCGCTATACATCTTCTGCTCCAACAGCGCCACTTGCTGGCGGAGAATGAATTTGCATTTGCAGTCTGTGGGAAACACTGGGGTCTGTCAGCAAACATAAACAAAAAGCATGCTTCAGAACTGTTTTGAGAAGGTGCTTAAGTTTTGAGCCATGTATTATTACTCAGAATTAGGCTACTACTGCTATTACTATCTTGTACCCTGCAATAATCATTTACTCAAACTCACTTTGATGAGATGAAGGGGGAAAAAATAAAAAAAATCGGCCAAACATATCGGCCAAAAAAATCGGCATCATACATCGGCCATCGGCTGCCCTGCTTTCTAAATATCTACATTGAGTTATTACTTCGTTGAATAAACTGATCACTGCACGTTTCAAAATTAAAATGCAGCGCAGGTGTTTTTATATGAATGTATCTTTGAAAAAAACGACGGTCTTCAGAAAAGCTTAGGTGTCATTTTAATTTCGTCTTTCCTGTAATGCCTGATAAAGTAGCGTTTGTGAGCGCAGTGCTTATTAGATTACAGCCGTTACCGAGGAAACCCGCTATACATCTTCTGCTCCAACAGCGCCACTTGCTGGCGGAGAATGAATTTGCATTTGCAGTCTGTGGGAAACACTGGGGTCTGTCAGCAAACATAAACAAAAAGCATGCTTCAGAACTGTTTTGAGAAGGTGCTTAAGTTTTGAGCCATGTATTATTACTCAGAATTAGGCTACTACTACTATTACTATCTTGTACCCTGCAATAATCATTTACTCAAACTCACTTTGATGAGATGAAGGGGGAAAAAATAAAAAAAATCGGCCAAACATATCGGCCAAAAAAATCGGCATCATACATCGGCCATCGGCTGCCCTGCTTTCTAAATATCGGCATCGGCCAGTGAAAAACTCATATCGGTCAACCTCTAACTAAGACAGTCTGTTTTTTGTTTTCTTTTTTTTTGTGCACTGTTGTGTGCATTATTAATTATTGACATGATAAATAACATGACATATGGATTCTCTAAATAGTAGCATGTATCATATTTATAATATAAAACATCGTCAAATAAATACATTGTATATCAGTATTTATATACACTATTTTTCAAAAGTTTGGGGTCAGTAAATTTTTTCCAGTGTTTTGAAAGAAGTCTCTTCTGCTCACCAAGGCTGCATTTATTTGATAAAAAAATACAGTAAAAATTGTTAAATATTATTAGGATTTAAAACAGCCGTTTTCTATGTGAATATCTGTTAAACTGTAATTTATTTCTTATTACTCATGATCAGTGTCACATGATCTTCAGAAATCAGTATAATATGCTGATCTGCTGCTCGAGAAACATTTCTGATTATTATCAATGTTGAAAACAGTTGTGCGGATTCATTTTAATTATTAAAATAAACAAAAACTATAAAGCTGACACTCAAACAGCAGAAGCACACACCAAATCTGCAAAACCATACACTAATTCTCAGCCTTTGACTCAGTTTTCAATTTCATAAAACACTTTTTGCAAAACACAGCACACACAAATCTAACAGGAATTAATATTATGGCAAATGTTTGCTTTTGAAATGTGTTTGTGATGTTTTGAATGCAGTGCTTCGTTTTGCAAGAGACGAGTGAGGCATTTTGCATTTTGTGTGTGCAGTTCTTGGATTTGTGTGTAAAGTTTTGAAAAAAAGAGGCAAAGTTTTGAAAATGTGTGTATAAACAGCTGGGAAAAAATGGCAAGTAACAGAATGAATGTAAAAAAAAGTGACATTTCGAAGCAGAAAGACTGAAATTGTATTTCTTGTAAAACGTACCTCAATCAATCTTTTTTTTTTTTACTTTGAAAAATTAATTTTTACACTTGGTCAGGCAGTTTTATGGTTTGCTGTATATAGCATATTGGCCGTGTGGGTGTAGTACTCAGCATGTGTGATGTTTGTTGTTCTGGTGACAGACTCTATGCACATAGAGGACGTGGAGTCGGTGCAGAAGCTCCAGGACGCCCTTCACGAAGCGCTGCAGGACTACGAGAGCTGTCAGCACACAGAAGACCCTCAGCGGGCGGGGAAGTGCCTAATTGTAGTCGGTGGGTGGAGGGGACGAAGGATTTACGATGCGTGGCAGAAGTCCAGGACGCTCCATGTTCAAACGCTCAGATGCCCGTATGTCAAACGGCCTATTTTGGGCTTGTTAAGCCACCGGCAGAGGAAACGAGGTGCCCGTCATCATCTGCTTGGACCCTGCCAGGACTTTTATAGCCATGTATCTGAATGAAGGTGGGCAGCAGGTGCGGGTCTTTATCACCAGCTTTATTTTTAGGTCTTGGAAGTCGACAGCAGATTGAACAGGAGAGGTGTTTGCCCTCATGTTGACACAATAGCATCACTTCGAACTTGCCGGCCCTATAAACAGCTTATTACCCTTAGATCCACTTTACAGCAGACCGCCATACGGCCATTAGCCCCAGTTATCCATTAGGAATATCCCGAGAAGCATTAGCTGGGAAAACAGCAGCGGAGTCACTGAGTGGCCCGAGACATCGGCGGACGCTACTGATATCATGTACTTGACGTGAACTGTGGCGCTGTCTGGATTCGATACTGAAGGACCTGAGGGTTTGATTGCGTCCTGGGGTGCGTTTCCCAAAAGCAGCTTTGCTCGTTACGACATAGTTTAGCGATTCAGTAGCTATGTTTCCATCCAAAGTTACCAATTAAACTGGAATATCGCTTAAAACATTGGTGAAAGAAGCATCCAGTGAGTTCAAGAGAACAAAATCGTCACTTCTTGATTAACTTGCACTAAATATCACCAAGAAAAATTACATTTGCTGCAGTAGGAGAAGGCACTGTATATAATTATTTTTATATACAATAAATTGCAAGCTTTAGAGCATGCAGGCGAAATGTGTTAATTATAACGAAGCATTTTGACGAGACTTTGCTCAAGCATTTTAGAATGACAAAACTAGCATTTCAGATGCTGTGCAATGAGATCGGTTCATAGGTTAGTACAGTTATGCTGTCCCATCACAAAGTCGCATTAAGGAATTTATTCGGTAAAAGTGTTTCTATCGAAGCTTATGCGCATGTTTTCTTACCGGATAAGAAATGTATCCTACTTGGATGAGCGCATAAATTTTTTTATGTGCATTTTTAAAATGTATGCGCGTCTTAGCATTTTCATCCAGCATTTTTTTATGCGATATCCCAAAATGTGAATAAAAATAGGTGGATGGAAACATAGCTAGTGTTTCTTAAAACCACAAACGTTTGCAAACAGCTTCGCAAGCTTGTGTGGCTGAAAGCACAACTTTTGACCTGTGGTTAGACATGGACTTCAATAGATCATGCTCAGTTTGCACATTAAGCAGGAAAACATGCAGTGCATTCTATAGCCTTCATTGCATTGAAATCAATCGAGTGCTGCAGTTTATAATGGGGTTTTTCTATTCATGATACTTCGACGTTTTGTTCTCCAATGTTAACTGCACACACTCATGCCTCCAAACGCTCTTATGTAGTTACTTATTACAAACATAACTGCCTCAGGATTCATGTTTTCATTCTGGGTGTGTAATTTACATTGTAGAGCAAAACGTCCAAATGTAACGTCAATTTTAATTTACCACAGACCTTTTACTAATGTTGAAAAATACCATGATAAAAACCCATTGGAAAATCTGTGGCGAATTACTCTTCCGGGTTGGATATATATACTGTATTCTATATACATTTCGATCTATATATTTTGGTATATCAGCTGCATTTTTGAATAGCGTGCATGTAAGTAAAAGTTTAAGCAAACCCGAGAGTATGACCGTAAGAGGAACCCACGATAAATCAAACATCAAATGGGAATCACAAATAGTTATAATAATACATTTAAACCAATTACGCACTGCATAATAATTTGATTTTAAAAAGCGAATGGCTTTCTGTTTTTCGTGTAAATTAACTATAATGATCTGACATCAAAAGTGTGGTCACATTAACGAAATTATCAAAAAAGGTCCATTGTCAATAGTATAGAGATGTATGATGCGCTTTCAAACCAAGCAGCTTTCTGTTGCACATGTGAATTTGTGTGAGAAAAAAACTGCGTGATCGTGCAAAACTCTCAATAACGCCGAACAACAGTAAATGTGACCAATGTTGAATTGATTGATTAGCAGTCGTTATTACTCCTCCACCTGAGTGTGACATCATTAACGACAGGCCTATTTTGTTATCAACAACAGGTGCGACCATGTTACTACAATTTCGGGAGACAGTGACTAGTTTGTTGCATTGTTACCAGGGTGGTTAATCAGCGAGATTTGTCATCATATGGGAAACGAACCCCAGGTCCAATCTCGCTCTGCATTGCTGATGTCTCTCATTGGCTTCCTAATGGCCAGACACTTCCCAGAAAACCTGAACCCGCCACAATCTCGAGCCGACCAGACGAGATAGCCAGAGAGAAGATAATGCAGGGATTCATTTTATATGCAGCGCAACTGTGTGGATTCACATTAGGGATCAATTCTGACCGAAATCATGCCAAAGCAGAGCACATCTGAACGACATGAACGCAGACGCTTCAAGCTGCCTACAGCACGCAAATGTGAATTCACACGTCACTGAGTCTGGAACACGTCAGAACGCAATTCATAATGTAACGCAATAGTACCGCAATGCTTTATGAACATCTGCTAGTCCTGCACTGAGATGGACGCACGGTAATGAACATATATGCAACATTCACGTAGCTACCTCATCATTCATCCACGTCTGGACATTCTGTAAATACTGCCCTTTATTTAGCCTGTTTCTGTCATGTGGACAGTAACACAACATCTGGTTAACGTCTCACATACCACACTAACCACCAAAGCACACTACACTCTAACCACGTCCTGTTCGGTGCACTGATTTAGGTGCTTTCTTTCTACTTTTTTGACAGCGGGACACTCGGTCACATTCATCATCTAGCGTACCCAAAAACACGTAAATGTGTGAGTGGCATGAATATTGATTTGTGCCTCTCCGTTCACTGTTTAGGAAGGAAAAGATGCATATCTGTAAATGCTGTCAGTTATTTATTTGCTTCTACCGCAGCATGTCAGGGTCAGAATTGGTCCCTCAATGTTCAAAATGACGAAGGCTTTTGTGTTTCTCCTCAAGATATTAATTGTGTATATTATATCACTTTGGCCACGCTGTACTGTACAATAATATTGTTCATTTAACAAACACCTGTGTCACTTTCTTTTTTATGTAAAAAATTAAAAAGGAACAAAGACGTACTCTCAAAGCACTTTTAGACTTCTGTTCATTTCCTCTCACAAACATACTGCCAGTCAATAGCTTGTGAATATATAACAAATATCAATATATAACAAGTCATGTAATGTGTGTGTGCACAATATATTACAAGTGTTTATGCATTTGGCAGATGCTTTTATCCAAAGCAATTTACATTGCATTCAAAGTACACATTTTACGAGATCCTGGGAATCAAACATGACTAACTTGCTCTACTGTTTGAATGAAATTGATCTTTTATTTACACTGATAATGACACATAAATCTGCACATGAGTGTATTTAGAGCTGAAGCCCTGCGCTGGACTCGTGTGCATCACTGTCCTGTAACTGTGGTCAGTGGAGCCGGATGATGATGACCTTTATCCGCTCTGCTGAAGTCTCTCAGACGGAGCGTGGCTCAGTAATGTAGTAACGTGTAAGTGCTGTAGGACGTCCTCAGAGACGCAGGACGACCCGCAGAGCCCCAGAGACCGCAGAGCAAACAGTCCAGAACTGACATGTGCTGCAGCAAAAACACTGCAGATCTGCTGTAGTGTGTCAGACACAGCCGCTGTTGTGTGTGTGTGTGTGTGTGTGAGTGAGT